GGTGTTTGATGGCGAAGATGTACGGTGGTAGGTGGCAACAGACAATGGTGGATGTCGGCAAACGGTGGTGGATGTCTTCAGACGATGGTGGATGTCATCAGACGGTGGTGGATGACGGTGGACGGTGATCGGTGGTCATCGGGGACCGGTGGACGATGATGGGTGATCGATGGATAATCGTGATCGGAATGCTCGATGCTCGGTATGCTCGATGCTCGGTTTTTCTAGAGGTGGATGTCGGTGGGGATGGTGATAATGGTCCCCCCGACTGCTTATGTATATAACCGTTATGTAATAAGACAAAATAAATCGTCAAATTGTCGTCAAATCATAGGACACTAAATGACGAAATAGCAGTCAAACTATGTGGTTTTAAAAATCAAATATAATATCTGATTTTTGTCCCCCAAATCAGATACAAATAATTTTTTTCTTGTCCACAATTATTATAGAATATTAACATTCAGTGTTTATAAAAATATATTTCTTATAAGAAAATATAAGAACATTCATTGGTTAATTTATGCATTTCAAAAAAGTGGTAAAAATTATAAATTTTCACGTAGTTTCATATTGTTTTAAGGGTTGTCACGGTAGATTGTGTTTACAGGTTACAGTTGTGAGAGTAGAAGTGTCTTATTTTATAGAGTAAAACGATGACATTTGGTCCTAAAACAGTTAAAAAAACCCAGTCTAAATCGTCCCCTATCCCTTAATTGTCAAATCCATTTATATACTATAAGACAAAATAGCGGTCAAACTACGAAAATCAGATATAACATCTGATTTTTGTCCCCCAAATCAGATACAAATAAATTTTTTTTTCGTATCAACAATTATTATAGACTATTAACATTCAGTGTTTATAAAAAATATATTTCTTATAAGAAAATATAAGAACATTCGTTGGTTAATTTATGCGTTTAAAAAAATGGTAAAGTTATAAATCTTCATGTAGTTTCATATTGTTTTAAGGGTTGTCATGGTAGATTGTGTTTACGGGTTACAGGTTGTGAGAATAGAAGTGTTTTATTTTTTAGAGTAAAACCATAACGTTTGTTCCTAAAATAGTTTAAAAAAACCAGTCTAAATCTTCCCCTATTTATTAAAAACACTCTTAATTGTTAAATCGATTTGTACACTAAAAGACAAATTAAAGGTCAAAATTTGAAGGTTGGATCACCCCTGGGGGAAGTTCTGGTGAGGTAGGGAGTGATCCTGGTTATCGAGGCAAATATTGTTTGGTCTCCTAAATTAAAATTTAAATAATCTTTTTGTACTTTTTGGTCAAGAAAATGGTAGGATCGCCCCCATGGTCAAACCATGCCCCTCGGGAGCAATCCATGTGGTCATTTTGGTAAAACCGTAAAAAAATGACTATTTTGTTAATACATTAAATATATTCTAGTCATTTTCGTGATTTTCTCTATATAATAGCTTACACTGTCAATATAGCACTACTATAAAATAATATATCGAATTTTAAAAAAAATCGTCTAGCCCCAAGATTAAAAAAAGACAATGAGCAAATGAAAAAAAAAGTTAAACAAACTAACCAACAATAGTTGGAAATTTGGACAAACATTGAGCAAGGCTAAGGATGATTTGGAATTTTGAATTTTGACGGATTTCAGAATTTTACCAATTTAGATAACATGATTATTGAGAAATGAAAACTAAAAACGTATTTTTATTGACAAACTTTTTTAACTGGACCATAAAAGTAAAGACTATGATACGAAAAATAAATCTATACACCTAATAAATAAGTAACTTGGCTGCCACGTGTCGTCTTATTGTGCGACGGTTATAAGGATTTCCCGCCTAAACATGTATGTAGACACAATTTACATTACTAGTTCAAATGAGCCTATTTAATTGACATTTGTCCCTGTAAACATAACTGATTTTCGTATGAAAAGGGAATTTTTTTCAAAGACTTAGGGGCTGTTTGGCAGTTGCTGAATGGTTTGGTGTTCTGAATAAAATAATGTTGTTTGGTAACTGTTATCTGAATGACAGTAAATTACTATTTTAACCCTCATGAATTTATAAACAACCCCAAGAGATACACCTATCATTAATCATAAACAATAAAAACCAAAACCCTAACTAATTCACTTGAAATAAGAAATCAGTTTATGCACCCCAAAAGTCATTAATCATAAAYAATAAAAACCAAAACCCTAACCAAATCAGTTTATGCACCCCAAAAGTCATTAATCATAAACAATAAAAACCAAAATCAGTTTATGCAGAGAGCAGAGATGAAGGCGACGATGAGCGATGGTGAAGACGAAGATACAGAGAGCAGAGATGAAGGCGACGATGAGCGATGGTGAAGGCAACGATGGTGGAAGGCGACGATGAGCGATGGTGAAGGCGACGATGAGCGATGGCGAAGCTCAACAGGTGACCGGCGATGGAGACCGGCGAAGCTCAACAGGTGACCGACATAAACGACCGGCGATGGCTGTGAGAAGGCGACGAGGGCTCATGAAGTGACACAAAATGGCTGGAAGAGAAGGGGTGTGGAAGGGTAAAGATGGAAGAAATGCAAATTGAATGGTTGAGTGAGGCTCCAGACACAAAATGGTTAAGAGGTAAATGTAACCATTAAGAGGGTTATTTTTTTTTGCCAAACAGCCTTTACCTCTTAATCGGTAAGAGGTTTCCTCTTAATGTCACCATTAAGAGGCAACCAAACAGCCCCTTAAATAAGCAAAAGTCTGGATTTCCATTCCTCAGACTTATAAGTCTGATGTCTACAGACTTTTCCAGACTTTTTCAGCAAAAACCTAATCACCAGGAGACCCCATGTTTAGAAGAAAACCGTTATACTGAAGCAACAACAGGAGATGGAAAACTTGGCACATTTTATACTACCACAAATGGAAATGCCAAGAGATTAATTACAACATTGACTGTATCTCTAATTCCATTTTTCCCAGTTAAAGTCGAGAGTTGTTTCCCAGCCTAACAACACAACTCTGAATTCTTGTGCTTCAGAGTTAAAGTTCATAGTTTCTTTGTAGGCCTGAGGATAAGTCTGAACTCCTTTTCCTCAGTTAAAATTCAGAGTTGTCTGCTATACTTGTAAGACATACCAGTATAAAAATATGAGGACAAATCTAAACTCCTTTTCCTCAGTTAAAATCCAGAGTTGTCTTCCAGACTTGTAAGACATACAAGTATGAAAGTCTAGGAAAATCAGAGTTATAAGTCTGAATTTAACTCTGAAGTGGCCTCCAGACTTACAACATAACTCTGAGAAAATTCAGAGTTGTAAGTCTGAATTTAACTCTGAAGTGGTCATCAAAACCGAGTTTAAAATTTCATATTCTGATTATTAAAGCATTTTTCACAAAGCTCGACCTCAGCCAGGGCCTCTGCCCTTTGGACCCCGCCACCGGGGGCGCTGCCCCCCGAACCCCTATCGTTTAGGGGCGAATCAAAATAAACTCAAACAAGTGTGCACATTCCTTACTTCTTTGATATTTATCATGATTACATTAGTCAACAAATTAATCCCATTACACTTAAATGACATTAGTGATACAAATCACCAACATGAAGTCATCATATATTGGTTATTTCTCAGACTTACAACATAACTCTGAATTGTTCTATTTCAGACTTAGAACCATAGTTTATCCCCATATTTAAAATACAACTCTGAACTCCTTTTCAGAATTACGTTTCTGAGTTATAAGAAGTCAGAATTCTTGTGACTCAGAGTTATGCTCATAGATACTTTCTAGCTTTAGAAGACAACTCTGAATTCCTCTTATTCAGAGTTAAGTCCAGAGTTATTTTCTAGCCTAACAATAGAACTCTGAATTCTTGTGTTTCAGAGTTAATGTTCAGAGTTTTTTCTTAGACCTGGGGAAAAATCTCAACTCATTTTTCTCATTTAAAATACCCCGTGTAATACACGGGTTCGAACCTACTATAACTAATATATGTATATTTTTGGTGGTCGGTTCGATCCAAACCATTCAAAAGAATGTTCAAAGCGTAGATCAGATTGGACTGAACGGTTTGGTTTACTTTTCAGACCGGACCGGATTCAAACTGCTAAAAATGGTCCGATTTGACTTGGTTCGACCGGTTTGAATAGTCCAACGATTTTTTGGATCACTCCTAACCGAGAGATTATTTTATGAAATGTGCACTAACTAAACAAAAACGCAAAAGATAGAGGACCAAACTGTAAGTTTTGATTTTCTTTTAGGGGGTGTTTGGGAAAGCGTTTCAAACGGACTTATTGACTTATACCGGTGCCAAACCGGTAATAAGTCATTTTGGAGTGTTTGGATAAAAAAAAAAAAGTGCTTATACCGGTACCAAACCGGTAATAAGTCGTTTTTGATAAGTTAAACCCTCTTGACTTATTTGACAGATTACCCTTTTAACCCTGGTTTCTCATCGCATCCATCTCATCATCGTTGCCGGCAAGACTTTCCACAGACGACGTTCTTGCTGGTTTCGTTCGCATCGTTGCCGGCTATCGCATCCGATCTTGCTGGTTAAGAACCTTTAATCGCCGGCGACCTGGTGATGCTTTAATCGCCGGCGACCTGGTGATGCTTTAATCGCCGGCGACCTGGTTTAGGGTTTAGAGCCGACGACGAGAAGGAGGCGACGAGGCGAGGCCGGCGACCTGGTGATGCTTTAATCGCCGGCGACC